AACCGGTCTGTATGTGGGATCCGAACCCTCGGCGGGAGCGCTGCCACGCTCCCAAGTGGCGTACTGTAGCAGTGCGCCACCGGGCCGGCCCTTGGCGTGAGGACTTTTAAATAATTGAAAGGATGGTACAGAAAAAAAAATCTGAATTCGAATTGCAAGCTTATTGGTCAGGAACACGGGCTGTTGTTAAGGATTAAGTGGGAATATACGCACACACATGCACACACAGACACACACCCATTTCTTAGTCTTGCACAAGGGACAGCATGTTGGAAGTACAGTAGCTTCCAATACTAAGAGAAATAACCAAGCCTGAAGAGCACTGGAAAAATTAGCATTTGACTGGGCACCACTCTTCTGTTCAAAAGGCATGTCTTTTCCATCAGACTTCAAATATCTCAGTGACAGAAACCAAATTACAATTGCTGAGCATCTTACCTAGAACAGTATACAATCTTTAATGAGCAGCACAATGGAGCCGGGGTAATTAGAGCAGTTCAGAACCTTGAAACCAGCCTTTAGTCAGTGATTCACACATTAGTAAGACATTGCTATGGGGATGTTTACAGCAAGACTGTTGTTCTACAGAAGACACTAAGGGCATAAGTCACAAAAGAGAGGTCCAGAAGGAAAACTGCAGAGGAAAAGAAAATCCCTATTAAGATAATTAGCTCATAGAAGATATTTCACTGGACAGTCATTTCTTGTGTGAAGCCATAGCCACCTCTTTTTGCTGCCTTTGTCCTAAAAAAACAGTTTATTTTATTGTTGTTCAGGTCAAATTTCTACCTTTGGAAATTGTTTAGACATATGGTAAGGTAATTATATATATGTATATATATGTGCATATATATATATGCACATTGGAACATATTAAATGATGGAGAAATATTTAATGATAGAGAAGATTAATGGCCTTTCTGGATTATGAATCAGCATATATGGAAATTTTAAATAGATTAGCTTGGATTGAAGTGGTAGAGTAATCTACTAAACAGGAGAATCAGTAAGAAGTTACCCCAATTAAATTCATTTCTCCAGTTTAATTGAAGCATGAACATGATACCTAAATAAATTAGATTAACCCAGACACGTTAAAAACATAATTCTTAAACTCGAATGCATTAAAGGGGTCTTTAGGTAATCTTTGAAGAAAAAGATTATAATAATATGTTATTGACATATATTCATATTATTCCAGTCGATGGATTACTTCATAGGCTGTGTTAAGCACCCAGCAGTCCCCTAGTAGCGACATGAGGGGCGTGTCCCTGATGGTTCCTCCTCCTCCGGTTGTTGTCTTCTCTAGAAGTTCCATGTCTGTGTAGTTACCAGCACGTGTAAGCGCTCAGCCTCAGTGCTTGCTATGCTTTTCTAAAATAGTAAAAGCTTTATTTCACTGGTTGCAAAAATGATCCCTGCTTATTTGTAAAATATTCAAAAGTTACAAAAAATATAAAGAAAAAGTGACAGTCACATTAATTCCCATTGCCCAGAGATGACCACTATCAACATTTTAGTGACTCTTCTTTGGGACATCTCTGATTGCTAGTAGTTCTTTTTTTTTTTTTTTTTTTAAATCACAAATTCTTTCAAGATTCTGGTAGTAGCTAAAAAATACAACTATACACAGAAAAAGTCATTAAAAACTTATATGATTTTGGGGGCTCCCTACACTGACTGAAACCCATCTGAGGGCCCCCTTGGGATCATGCTATTGAGCACACTGCTTTTTTCATTCCACAGAGTGTCCTGGACACCTTACATTTCAGTAAATAAGAGTCTGCATTGTCACATTTAATGGCCACACAGTGTTCTTCTACATAAATATCCTGTAATCATGGAACCAATTGCCTAATGGGCATTTGCATGTCTTCTGCTTTATGCTGTCATAAAAGTGTGGCTGTGAACATTCTCGTGCACTTATCTCTGCCACTTTTGTGATTACTTAATCAAAGAATATGCACATTGACATTTTTTACACACACTGCCTTACTCTCCCCCAGGATGACTGGTCCTTTGTTGTTCACTAAGGAGTCTCCCTCCACTTCCTGGTCAGCACCGGATCTTCTCAGCCTCAGTTGCTACTCCTCTTGCACTCGTTTTCTCCTCTGTGAACTGGGAGGAGGACCTAGTTTTCTGCCTGTGATGTTTCAGGATTTGTACTGGATACCTACCGTCCTAGCTGCCAAACCCTTACAGAGTAGGGTGAGGTCCTATCTTGGTCTGAAACCTGAAAGAATAACTCACTTTCTCTCCAGGGACTTTTCTTCAGTTGTTCTTCCTTGAAGGAAGAGGAAAAAAAAATCTGAATTCGAATTGCAAGCTTATTGGTCAGGAACACGGGCTGTTGTTAAGGATTAAGTGGGAATATACGCACACACATGCACACACAGACACACACCCATTTCTTAGTCTTGCACAAGGGACAGCATGTTGGAAGTACAGTAGCTTCCAATACTAAGAGAAATAACCAAGCCTGAAGAGCACTGGAAAAATTAGCATTTGACTGGGCACCACTCTTCTGTTCAAAAGGCATGTCTTTTCCATCAGACTTCAAATATCTCAGTGACAGAAACCAAATTACAATTGCTGAGCATCTTACCTAGAACAGTATACAAGTATAGTAGATAATTATAGATAGGTGGAGATTGATTGAATCGGTTTAAAACCTTTCAACAATGAAAAAAGCTAAATCTTAGTAAATTTCCAATGATTCAGATTTCTGGGGTTCTTTCAAAACAAGCATGTAGGCAGATGTTTTGCATTTTAAGGAGAGAAGCCTAGAAGTGTGATAGGAACTGATTCAAGTTGCATGCTTTTAAAACTAGAGGGAATGGTGTTTGTTTTATTTTATCTTTTGCTTCCTAGGGCATTTCTTTTTATTTTCTGGGCACATATGTGTGTATTTGATAGTGTGAATGAAATGCTATAGAATAAAAAACTAATTTGATAGAATGATAATAGAATTTTGTAGAGAAAATTCTCACTTTCCACATGCAGACCTTCATTTCTGAGTTGCTGTCCCTCTAACATGTGACTTGGGTTTCAGGTGCCATTACTGCAAGTCATCATGCCACGTGTCCTCCCTCCGCATTCCATATGCCTGCAAGCTGCTCTTCCAGGAACTGCAGTCTATGAACATTATCCCCAGGTTAAAACTGTCCAAGTACAATGAATAAGGATGGAAAAGATGATATTTAAAGAGAACAGTCAATACATCCAGTGCAAGGGAAATCAGAGAGATTGAGGACTACTTCTGCTCACGTGAATAATTCCTTTCAGTGTTCTCTCTCAAAAACAAACAAACAAATGGATGGAGAGGCTTTTATGTACTAGAAGACTGACCAAAAGGCCTTCATCAGTGAGCATCAAGCCATGGGAGAAGTGCCAACAACATGGACTATAATGCAGTTTGATTCACAAATGAACATGACCTAAAGGCTAAATAAACTTTTATTTATGCTCTGATATCTTACAATGTACTCACTTGAAAGACCTTACTCCTTATAAAGAATGTTTGAGGTTAAATTTCCCGTGATATCTTCTAGCTAACAAAACTCAGCATTCTTAGGAAACTTGGAGGAGGTGAGGAATCCATTTGCATTGGTTAACGTGGCTCTTGTTGAGGTGGCTGATTCTGAGCAGTATGCTGAGGAAAAAGAGTGTGTGAAGCTGAGATAGTGGCCAATAAAGTGATGGCTTTCTTATGTGGCACTGTGAGGGGATCAATTTTCCCAGCAATTACATCTTGCCCTTACACACCCAAACTTTGTAATTTTAATCTTGGCGAAATAAAATATATGCCTACCTTGTTAGGCAAAAATATCATCTTTTCTTACTAATATTTTGAACCTCCATGATCATACCATGCAGTGATATTTATTAAATACCTTACTTTCACTCCATGGATGCGGGTCCCTTTCGTTCCTACCAGGATGTTAGCTGTCCTTTTTTTTTTTTTTTTTTTTTAAATCTGACAGCCTTCCTTACCCATTTCTAAGTTGCTCTTAACTGCTCTGCCCCAAAGCCAGATAAATATTTGTGTTAAGGACTGTTTATAAAATGAGTCAGAAAAGCTTTGAATAATGTCAAAGGCTACATTTCCAGCATGTCCCAAAGAAAATGTTCCGCAGATTGTTAATAGGTATTACATACCAATAAGTATCAATGTCAAAATAAGGTTGAGAAACTGGGTGTGTAACCAAGTTAACATCCCATAGGACTTTTTCAAAGCCTTTAGTGATACCAAGCCCAGGGGTATTGGGACTCTCCAAAAGGGATGTTCAGGGAGCCAGACTAGTCATTGGCTCAACTCAACCTCACTCATTTTCTTCACAAGATAAATCTTCACACAGGTGTAAGAGTCGCAGAGGCTTCACAGTCAAAGCAGGATGACGGGTGCTGTGCAGCCGAGCAGGCTTCCTCAGCCTTCACCTCAGGGGCTCGGCAGGTGTTACAGAGGCAGAGGAGGTTGAATGCCCAGGTCCTTCCCTTAGTCTAGCTTTGTAGTTCTCAGAATTGATGGTGCATAGAGATTACTGTACTGAATACACAATACTGTACTTTGTGGGCTGTTGAGGAGTTTTCTAAGATGATCCTGACCATCTCACATAATGCGGCAACTCCACTTACCAACTCCATCAAAACTGCAGTTGCCCTGCAATGGGTGGTCCGCCATGTCAGTGAACACTCAGAGGGTCAGGCAGGGACAAGTTGAGCAGTGTGCTGGGCACTGGCACCGGGACTCCATCACTTACCATTAGCACCTGCCATGCGGGAGGCACTGCACTGAGGAAAAACAGAGCAGGACTTGGCCTCCACGTGAAGGAGTGTGTAATCCAGCGGAGGCCAAGGCCTGTCAATCCGTCACAGAGCACTGGCCCGGGATCAGTGCTGAGGATCAGCCTCATCTGTGCTGAGGGAGTGCCAGGGCGCTCTGAAGATTGGGAAGCACTTCACAAGCATGATTATTCTCTTTATACAGCTGGAGAAACTGAGGCACTAAGTAGCTACCTCCCCAGTGCCACACCACTAACAAGGGAACAGCGGGGGCTTCAAGACCAGGCTTCCTCACTTAGAGGGCTTGGTTTTATTTTTGTCCATGATTGTATTTTTCAGTCACTGAAAGTGACAATTTTGGTTTGGGGGCTTTTAAAAAAATTTTTATTCAAATAAAAAATAAGTGGTCATATTTCTTACAAACCTCTTTTTTGGAAAACCATATGGTCACTGAGAAGTCATATTTCTTACTAACTTCCTTTTTGGAAAAACATTCCAGGCCTTTCTGATCATTTTGAAGGGAGTCACCTATCTAATCTTCTAGGAAATTCAAAGTTCTCTAAGTTGACAAGCTCTAGAAAGTATGGGTTCCAAACTGAGACAATCCTAGGGGGAAAATTCTGTCAGGTTGGTATTTCAAAAACTAGCAGATACTACACTTGAATAAGCTATTTGATTCTGAGTAATACTTTAATAAAAAAAGGCCAGAACTGGTAAGTTAATCCTACTAGTTTTATTTTTTAAAGTTATTTGTAAGTTCCTTTTTTTAAACAGTACCAGTTTGATTTCAATTTCTAGTAATGACAGAATAACTTTTTACAGGCCCCCCTGGGAGCACTTTTCCCTCAAGGCTTTTGCCAGGTAGGGAGTGGCACAGGGATGAGGCTAAAAAGCCACACCAAAGCCACTAAGAATCTGCAACCCTGACATGAGCTTTGGCAGAGTCAAAGAGCAAGGGAGACAAAACTGGGGGTTCAGAGTTGCCAAGATACTAGGACTGGAGAGGTCAGGATCCCAAATAGAAAGGAAGCTTGACCTGTCCACCACTTTCCCCTGGATTTGTCAGCACAGGCTGCCATAACAGAATACACAACAGAGTAGCTTTAATGACAGAAACATTTCTTCACAGTTCTGGAGGCTGTCCAAGACAAAGGTGTTGATAGAGTTGGTGTCTGGTGAGGGCTCTCTTCCTGACTGCTGACGGCCACCTTCTTGCTGCCTCCTCACATGGCCTTTCCTTGGTACACACTTGGGGAGAGAGAGAAAGCTTAGCTGTCTCATAGGACCCCAGTCCTAACGGAATAGGTCCACTTTTATGACCTCATTTAACCTTACTTACCTCCTTAAAGGCCCCATCTCCACATATAGTCATACTGGGGGTTATGGCTTCAACATATGAGTTTTGAGGGGACACAGTTCAGTCCATTATACCCCTCAAGACATTTTGCCAGTTCATAACAGCACAGACTGAACTGTTGGCAGTACCTATTAAAGTTGAATGTACCCAGCAACTTCATTCCTAGATGTATGCCCAGGAGAAATGTGTGTATATGTGTTATCAGTAGGTGTGTACAGAAATGTTTCTAGCAGTGTTATTTGTAATAGCCCCAAGTTGTAAATAATTCCTGCCCATTAACAATAGAATGAATTGTATGTTCATACAATGGAATACTATACAGCAATGAAAAATGAGTTACTGCTGCATACAATATCATAGATAATCTCACAAATATAATATTGGGCGAAAAAAAGTTAACCTCAAAAGAACGCATTCTGTATTGGTTCCTTTTCAGTTCAAAAATAGGTAAAATTAATCTATGATATAAGGAGTCATGATAACAATTCCCTATGCAGAGTAGGTGGCTAGAGACCAGGAGGTTGCCAAGAGGGAGGCTTCTAAGGTGCTGGTAGTATTTTTTTGACCTGAGTGTTGATTACGTGGTTGTGCTCATTTTATGAAAATTTATTAAGCTATATACTCAGAATTTTTTCACCTTTCTGAATGTAGGTTATTCTTTAATACGTTTAAAATAACAAACAAAAATAAAAACCACCTACCAGGTGACTACATGGTTAAGAATACAGGTTTTAAACCTGTGTTTCAGTCTCTTCCACTAATATATATGTCACCCCAAATATTGTCTTTGTTCTTTTAGTTTTCCCATCTTCAAAATAGGGATGATAATAGTGCCCACGCCAACAGCTATTTTTAGGATTAAATGAGATAATGCACCTAAAGGGCTTGCACAGTGCCTGGCACAGGTGTTCATAGGTGTTTTTTATTGTTTTAATTGATAACAGACAGTACTGATCATGTCGTACACCTTACTACCAGCACTTCCAGGACTAACCCTGTCCTGTACAACTTTATCAGGCAAACCCCGAGTTTCCTTTGGAAGAAAGAATTTGGAGACTACAGGACCAAGCACAGAGTTTCCTTTGGAAGAAGGAATTTGGAAACTAGGACCAAGTAGAGTTTTGCAAAAGCTATTTGGGAAAGCTGCCGTGTTTAATGGTGATGGGGAGGAAGGAAGGTGGTGGAATTAGAGAACACACTTCCCTGGAACAACCATTTACCACTGACATCAAAGAGAGGCCTGTTGTTGGTGCAGGAGTCCCGGAATAGTTACATGAAGTGAACAGAACCAGTTCTCAAAACACTTCCATGTGGTGAGAGTCAAGTAATGGATTAAAACAAAAAAAAGTACTTGATTGGGTGCTACATAATGGGATAGTTTTCAGCTGCTTTGGAGCATTTTTGGCCAACACCTTTATTTGCAGTAATGAGTCACACGAGAGTGAACACATTAGGGCTAGTGGCTGGGCCTGTCCGTTCTCGGCCATCTGAGTAACAGAGAAGCCAGTTTCTGAGAAACCTGTAAATAATTCCATTGTGAAACGGATGGTCAGAAAAGTGACTGTAAAAGTAGCACCTCTTCACCATCCATATTTACTCCATATGTGTCTTGAAAACAATTTATTTCATTTGTTGACCAAAAGTTGGATTTTTACTACATCAGCCCAGAGGGCTAAGATTGGTGGGAAATTAAAGTCAAGCGTTTTAAATGGAAAGAAAAAAGTAATGGCAATCTAGTGTATATACTGTTTCTGTTACCAAAACCAAGCTATCAATTTGGATTTCAGACACAGCCTCCATAAACAATTAAAAGATTTTCTTTGGAAAATCAAATTTGTGATCAGGTTGTCAAGGCAGAAAATTTCAGACCAAGCTGAAACTCACATTTCTGTTTAACGTCTCACACCATGGTCAAAGGAGTTAAAATATTTTTCTAGTCTAGGTAATAGCTGTCCTTCTGTGCATAATAAATTTTAAGTCTTGTTAACTCCCAATCATCCAGGCTAATGGAAGCAAGAAGTGATGTGAATAAATTAAAACAGATGATAGATACAAAATCTTTTGTATTGGATGCTGGGATGAAATCTGCATTTACATTTTTAATATAACTTTGAATGGTGGAGTTTGCTCTACGTCAAGCAGTGACTCCTACGAACCCTGTATTTAAAGAGACTGGAATAATAATACCCTTTCCGATTCAGTAATGATGACAGATCTTTGGGACTGAGATACTTCTAGGCCAGTGGTTCTCAAAGTGTGGTCCCTGGACCAGCAGCATCGGCATCACCTGGAAACTTATCAGAAATGCAAATTTTCAGGCCCCTCCCCAAACCTACTCAGAAACCATCTGTGGAGTCCAGCAATCTGTGGTTTAACAAACCCTCTAGGTGGTTCCAGTGCACACTAGAACTTCAGATCCAATGTCATAAGATACAAGAACACCTTTGGATCCCACTCTTTCTTAGAGCCAGCCTTTGGATGGTTAGGAGTGCCAGACACCCCCGCTCGGGAACTGACTCCCTACTTTTCTCTTGCTTACTAGACATGACTTCCCTTTAAGTAGCAGATTGTATTGGCCTGCAGTTCCCACAGGGCTCAGAGCCCACTTTACAGCTCAGACCAGTCCTTGAGAGAACTTTCCAAGCCTGCCCCACCCCTACCCCTACTGGGGGAGACCCTGTGCAGAGGAAAT